TAGCACTATGTTGTCATGTTGATGTGATCATGCCCTGTTCCTTTTTTTCAGGACATTGATGATGAGGAAGATTCGTACAATGATGTGCCAGTGGGGATCCTCTGCCATGAACAGGAAACATCACTCCACACACACAGTCCCTTCACCACACTGCATCTTCAGTGGGAAACATTATGATGGATGTTGAGAGCCTGCCCCAGGCCATGTACATTGTCTTCGGACTTACCTATGCACTGCATCTCAACTACCCAAAGTACATGGAGAACACTTTAGATTTTATTCAACAGGTACTTCTGAACTTAGGTAAGACTGATCTGAAACCTAAACTTCAAACACTCAAGAATCAGCTTGCAATGTAAGATCCAGCATCTCCTCTATGGTCTCTAGATGGGTATCTACTGTTTTAAGTTTATGTAAGTTTTATTTTTCACCCTTATTCTGTTTCACACATGCTTTTTTTTTATCCAGAGAAACATTTTTTGTTAAAGGAATCACCAACTTTTTGGGACTTTAGCTTATTCACCGTATCCCCCAGAGTTAGATGAGTCCATACATACCTTTTTCATCTCCGTGCGTGCTATAACTCCGTCTGACGCACCCACCGCTAGCCTAGCTTAGCACAAAGACTGGATGTAAATGGCTGCAGCTAGCATACTGCTCCCAATAAGTGATAAAATAACGCCAACATTTTCCTATTTATATGTTGTGATTTGTATAGTCACAGTGTGTACAAATAACAAGGTCATATGACACACAGCACCCTTATAACAGTATACATACTGGGAACTATATTCTCAGAAGGCGAAGCACTGCTACTTGGGCGGAGTGATTTGCTTGCAGCATCTGAGAAGCCCGGTGGTGAGGAGCAGAGAGTTCTCTCAGAGTGTTGCGCTAATCACTCCACCCAAGTAGCAGTGCTTTGCTTTCTGAGAATATAGTTCCCAGTATGTATACTGTTATAAGGGTGCTGTGTGTCATATGACCTTGTTATTTGTACACACTGTGACTATACAAATCACAATTTATAAATAGGAAAATGTCGGCGTTATTTTGTCACTTATTGCGAGTAGTATGCTAGCTGGAGCCATTTACTTCCAGTCTTTGTGCTAAGCTAGGCTAGCGGTGGGTGTGTCAGACAGAGTTACAGCTCGCACAGAGATGAAAAGGGTGTGTATGGACTGATCTAACTCTGGGGGATACAGTGAATAAGCTAAAATCCCAAAAAGTCGGCGTGTTCCTTTAATGATCGAGTTCACAATTGCCAAGATGGAGGAATGTGGTAGAGACGGGAGGGGAGGGGAGGGGGAGAGAGAAAGGGAGGTATAGGTGGAGGGGAGAGTATGGGCTCTCCATACAGGTATCTGCTCTCTTATTTTTTTTCACCCTCCCGTTCTCTTTCATTCTCATACACTTTTTTGTTTTTCCATGGACACATGACATTTGTTAGCCTATTTGTAAATGTTAAAGAGTTAGTTCACCCAAAAATGAAAATTATGTCATTAATGGCTCACCCTCATGTCGTTCCAAGCCCGTGAGACCTCCATTCATGTTCGGGACACAGTTTAAGATATTTTAGATTTAGTCCGAGAGCTTTCTGTCCCTCCATTGTAAATGTATGTACGGTATACTGTCCTTGTCCAGAAAGGAAATAAAGACATCATCAAAGTAGTCCATGTGACATCAGTGGGTTAGTTAGAATGTTTTTAAGCATCAAAAATACATTTTGGTCCAAAAATAACAAAAACTACGCCTTTATTCAGCATTGTATTGTCTTCCGGTTCTGTTGTGGATCCGCGTTCAGTGCCGCCGCTGACGTAAGACGCTGCTGACGTGTGTCTGGTGTGTGTGTGTGTGTGTGTGTGTGTGTGTGTGTGTATTCTGGTTCTGATGTGGATCCGCGTTCAGTGCCGCCGCTGACGTAAGACGCTGCTGACGTGTGTCTGGTGTGTGTGTGTGTGTGTGTGTGTGTGTGTATTCTGGTTCTGATGTGGATCCGCGTTCAGTGCCGCCGCTGACGTAAGACGCTGCTGACGTGTGTCTGGTGTGTGTGTGTGTGTGTGTGTGTGTATTCTGGTTCTGATGTGGATCCGCGTTCAGTGCCGCCGCTGACGTAAGACGCTGCTGACGTGTGTCTGGTGTGTGTGTGTGTGTGTGTGTGTGTGTATTCTGGTTCTGATGTGGATCCGCGTTCAGTGCCGCCGCTGACGTAAGACGCTGCTGACGTGTGTCTGGTGTGTGTGTGTGTGTGTGTGTGTGTGTGTGTGTATTCTGGTTCTGATGTGGATCCGCGTTCAGTGCCGCTGCTGACGTAAGACGCTGCTGACGTGTGTCTCGTGTGTGTGTGTGTGTGTGTGTATTCTGGTTCTGATGTGGATCCGCGTTCAGTGCCGCCGCTGACGTAAGACGCTGCTGACGTGTGTCTGGTGTGTGTGTGTGTGTGTGTGTGTGTGTATTCTGGTTCTGATGTGGATCCGCGTTCAGTGCCGCCGCTGACGTAAGACGCTGCTGACGTGTGTCTGGTGTGTGTGTGTGTGTGTGTGTGTGTGTGTGTGTATTCTGGTTCTGATGTGGATCCGCGTTCAGTGCCGCTGCTGACGTAAGACGCTGCTGACGTGTGTCTCGTGTGTGTGTGTGTGTGTGTGTATTCTGGTTCTGATGTGGATCCGCGTTCAGTGCCGCCGCTGACGTAAGACGCTGCTGACGTGTGTCTGGTGCGTCTGTGTATTCGGGTACAAATAAATATGGCTGGGCAAATCAATGCAAGTCTTCCTCTGTGTGGAAATCCTTAGACATGTTTGCGAAGATTGTTTTGTTTCCAGCGTGCGTCTCCCTCAGACTGTAGACGAAGCTCGGGCGCACCAGACACACGTCAGCAGCGTCTTACGTCAGCGGCGTCACTGAACGCGGATCCACAACAGAACCGGAACACACACACACACACGTCAGCAGCGTCTTACGTCAGCAGCGTCACTGAACGCGGATCCACAACAGAACCAGAATACACACACACACACACACCAGACACACGTCAGCAGCGTCTTACGTCAGCGGCGGCACTGAACGCGGATCCACAATAGAACCGGAAGACAATACAATGCTGAATAAAGGCGTAGTTTTTGTTATTTTTGGACCAAAATGTATTTTCGATGCTTCAAAACACTCTAACTAACCCACTGATGTCACATGGACTACTTTGATGATGTCTTTATTTCCTTTCTGGACAAGGACAGTATACCGTACATACATTTACAATGGAGGGACAGAAAGCTCTCGGACTAAATCTAAAATATCTTAAACTGTGTTCTGAAGATGAACGGAGGTCTTACGGGCTTGGGACGACATGAGGGAGAGTCATTAATGACATAATTTTCATTTTTGGGTGAACTAACCCTTTAAGCTGCCAGTGTTCAGCAGGGCTGAGTTTCATCTTGCCAGTTTGTCAACCAAATGTAAATGTTAAGTGTTCAAGTATAAATGTTAAGATGCCAGTGTTTACAAGTGCCGAGTTTTATCTTGCCAGTTTGTCAACCAAATATGAAGAGGTGCAGTACAATATTGTAATGATTGGAGATAAAGATGAAGAGACTTTTTTTCTTTTCATGCCATCACTGAGGAAACTACACACTAGAAACCTATTAGGCCATGGCTTTGTTTCTGTTGTTGCTGAAAAAAGACATGTTCAATAAAATTTGTTTTGAAACAGTGTAACGTTGCAGTTGTATGTATTTTACATGGCTCTATTGATTGAAAGATATTTTGAGTTTCAGGAATTTAAAAGTTAAGTTGGGTCAGTTAGAAAATACAATTTAGTTGAATTGGTAATGGAGTAATGCTTACTTAACAAGCTGAGTTAAATAAATGGGTGGGGAATGATTGTTTAAACTAAGTATCTTCAGTTACTGTAACTCGGTCATTAGTACATTCAACTTAAATGTTCTATTCCATTCCATTATGGACTTAAGTACATTGAACGTAATCCACTTCACTTATTCAACTAATGCTTCATTACTTAAAAATTTTAAGGCAACGAGTTACCTTGGTTTTTTTAAGTAGATTCTACTTATCCGGGTTTACAGTGTGACATCTTAATAGTATTATATAATATTAATAATAATTAAGCATTTTACTATAAGTCAATTTAATATTACACTAATATTAATGGTCACACTTTATGCTAATAAACAAATAGTTAATAGAGAGAATAGGACCCTAAAGTGTTCCCATATTAACCAAATAATTGCTACAAGTAAATCATTTATACCTCATATTCCATATTATTAATTTGTAGATCAATTTAATCTAATTTTCCATCTTAATATGAGTATCATTCATATGAATTAATATAAATAATATTGGTATTGGTTATTATTAATTATATTACATAATTAACCTAATCAAATTAATAATAATTAACCTTTTTTTTTTACTACAAGCCATTTGTAGGTTGATTTGATGCTCTGACTGTGAGTCTTTCCGACCAGCAACACTGGCTCAACCAATGGCACGAGTTTGGGGCGGGGCTATCTTTTTCTCCATCCAATAGCAGATGGTGGGAGTGTTTGGAAATGTACTTAAAAATAGTCAATATTTTGGAATTTTTATTTGATGAGGATAGCAAAATTACACACTTCAGCTTTAAGGATACATCTAGTCATTTGGTGCGTTAGACGTTTTATACTCAAAATCCCCATATAAACATTTAGCATTATGAAAAATCTTTAAAATCTCCACTTCACTGTCCCAAGTAATGATTGCGGCTTTGCTCAAAGGTCAACAAGTCACTTTCACCCTCCAGAGTCCTCACAAAAGGATCCTATTAACCCTGTAGCCCCATTGAGCCGTTCTTAGTGGAAATGCACCAGAAAAAATGTCTGTGGAGATGAAAGCGTGTTTTATTTTGTCTCTTTCTTCTTCAGTCTATAGGACTAAAAGGTCTCCGCTTCTTTTTGATGTTGAGAGGCTGCTGCAAATATCCACAAACACTCAGTTATACGTCAATGTATGATTTTAGATGCATTTATGTTTTAGATCCTTTTACCTTCCTGTAGACATAATTAGTGTGACCCCTTTAACTTACAATCCGATCTCCAACATCATTACCGCAAACGGAGGCTTTCATTTGCCAAAAGGCAATGTGATATGTGAATGAATTGACATGTCCACATGTACAACGATCCCTGCGTTCTTTGCTTGTCGAAGAGGCTCAGCTGTAGCTATTACATACTTTAACGGTAAAGCGATAACCCCAGACGTAACCTCATATGCGTCTCTCCCTCATCAACGAACACAAAGAATAGAAGAAAAACCTTTTCTCTTTTTGTTCCGCTGTGTCATCAAAATTTCAGTTATAAAAAACCTCATCCTCCGACAGGGAGATGCTGTCTGCGTGTCGCACTGGCCCTTCCGATGGCGAGATCCTCTGCTCCTGAGGAGGACGCTGAGTGTCCAGCGGAGAATGAGAATGACTGGGGGAATGAGACTGAGGAGGATGAGAAGGTGCCAGGGAACTGGTGTCATCAACATCCATGTGCATTCTGTACAGGTGCTGAGGAACACCCAGACTCCCTCCATCCAACAGGAACTGAGAGAGATAGAGGCCCTCGGGGTCTGTGAAGATATCGTCATCTTTAGGAGAGCAGAAATTAAAAAGACCTCAAGCACACACATCTTCTAGAATGAAAATTGTAGCATAAATGAATAAGCCTAATAAGCCCCAAACTCAATATAGAGCTCTGATTTGCTTGATCCATGAGTCATCATGTCCCAGACACATTCAGACATTTCTGTTTTGTAGTCATTTATTCAACTGTAAGACTCCTAAGTAAATGGCCACCAAAGCGCTTTACAATTTGCCTCACATTCACCCATTCACTCACTCATTCATACACCGACGGGCGACGGCAGCCATGCAAGGCGCCATCCAGCTCGTCGGGAGCAGCTGGGGTTAGGTGTCTTGCTCATGGACACCTCGACACTTGGTCAGGTGGAACCGAGGATTGAACCACCAACCTTCCGGTTTGTAGACAACCAACATGAACCACTGAGCCACTGCCGCCCCTTAAACTAAAGTACCAGGGCAAAATGTTTTTTTGAACCTGGCTCATCTGGCTAAACAGGTCATATAATTTGTCTTTGTTCTGGGCTTATTACACCAAGGCTGTCATGATGTTCCCCTTCATAATGAAATAGCACTATTTTTATACAAGCTGGGATAAAGTGAGATGAACCAGATGGTGAGAATAGCCCTTTCACACATACAGTCTTTACTGGTAAATTACCGTTAAGATATCATGTGTGAACAGGACCTTTTCAAAAGTTGTAACATTACCAGTAAATTACTGGTATGATGCTGTGTGTGAACAAAAATTGAGTATGAGTACAGTGTCAGAACACACTGACATAAGAAATTTGCTTTGGGCCAATCGTAAAGCTCTGTTGGAGCTGTAAGTTCTGCTGCTTTTAACTGTTTTTCTATGTAGACATGTGCTAGACGAACATCTGACCGTTGCGCCACGTCTCGCACTCAAGACCCTGCCTTCTTTTCCATTACCAGTGCTGCGGCTCTGGAGTTATTGCGTACTATAGTAACTGCAGTACTAAAGTAACTATTATGCGTCTTGTGTTTTTAAGGGTAAAACCAGGTTCTGTGTGATCATCCCCCTTATACCTGTCAACTCAGGCGTAAACATTTTTTTAAACTGTAATTAAAGCACTTCTCATCCAGGTGGATGAAGAAAACGGCTCAACGTTTAAAGGTCATTTCCCATTATTGATATCGCAGAGTTTATCCGTATTTTGATATTGATGTGTGAATCTTACCTGTAAAAAGAAGGAACACTGTTGCTTGTGTTTGTGTATTTACCGGAAAAGTAATTCTGGTCATTTTACAGTAATTTAGCGGGATTGCTGTGTGAAAGGGGCTAAAAACCTCCATAAGTACTGTTCTACTTTTAATCAAGGGCTGTGAATATGAATATAATATATACAGAGTAATTTAAAGTTCCCCTATTATGGATTTTTGAAAAAGATCTTTCATGTAGTGTGTAACATAGTTCTAAGTGAATGAAAAGATCCTGCAAAGTTTCAAATCTGAAAGTGCACCGTATATAAAGTTATTGTCTTTCAAAAGTAAGAGTCGACTCTGAGTCAATGAAATGAATTGTTTTTCAAACAAGTCATAAGCCGTTTCGTTGTGACGTCCACACACCAGGGAAAACTTGAACCCCCTCAAACCGGCAGCTGATTCCTGTGGATACTGGACAGCATCATGTCGAGAAGACGCTGTGCTCTACAATGTGAAGGTAAAGCCAGTTTTTTTCACTGCTCAAGGACGAGGATGTGAAGAATCAGTGGATAAAATTCATCATTACCATGATACCACAGCAGTATAATCCTAAACTTTTGCTGTGTTCCCTTTAGTTTACTGACAACTTCTCAAATCTCTGCGTTCAATGCAGGATTCGCAAACCGCTTGCTCTAGAAAGATGGTGTTCAAAATACTTAGTTTTGAGTTTTATATTGTGTAGGTCTCCTGCTAACTGGCTAACTCACATTATTACTGTCTTACTGAAATACTTCTGCTAATCAGTTGTTGTCAGGGTTTGGGGTTGAGGAGATGAGGCGAAGACTCAAGTGCAGGAAACGAGGGATTCTTTATTAATAAAATAAAACAAAACAGACAACAAAAACTACCCCGAGGGGGAAAACAAGACAGACTTGACTAGGCTAGGCTAGAAAACAGACAGGAGGCACATACAAGGTAGAATTACGACGACGAACCAGCACGGGACTGAAAACACAAGGAGAATAAATAGGAAGAGCAAACAAAGCAGATAACGAGGGAGGACAGGTGGAGATGGTCCTCACTGTAGAACATGAAATCCACGGGGAGGAGTCGGATCCAGATCCAACTCCTCCCACCTAACATATACCTAAACCTACCCATCTCCGCCCCCTGATCCCAAAACCCACCCCTAATCCTACCCATCTCCACCCCTTGGATCTTGATCCGACTCCTCGTGGATCTCATGTACTGCATTGAGGTGCTAATGGACAGGTGGGGCAAATTAATCAATAATCAGGTAACAAGATGGGAGGGGCTAGACAATCGACAGCACATGGCACAAGGAAATTTACATGACAAGCCATGTGCTCACACCAAACAGGACAAAAACACAAGCACATGGCCAGTAAAACAAATCACAAGCCATGTGCTAACCCACAACAAGACAACACGCAGCCAATGAGTACACTCATAAGCCAAGTGTTCACACAAAACATGACAACATGAAAGCATGCAGCCAGTGATAAACACAAGCTGCATGCAACACAGCACAAGACAAAACATGACATGAACGGTTATTGATACAGTTTCCACATGTTCACTGCAATAAATGAGAAAAATACGGTTTGTTGATGGACATGCACTTGTTAATGCTAATGGTGAGGAATTACAGTTGCAACATCTCATAATGTACCTCAAACTGAGCAGTGTATCACTGAGAAACATCCTGCTCGAGTCGTTCTTGCGATGGAGGTTCGGATTGAATAACTACTTCAAGAGACTCTTCCAGTGTTTAATCATCGGACTCGCGCTAAGATTGATATGGTAAAATCGATGTCATTGTTCGTTACTGTGTTTAGTTTACGGTGTAGGAAGCCTCAGGACACGCAGAGCTCACGTTGTTATGGCAATGGGCGTTTTTGTTTTCGACACACACGCTGTACGCGGTAGACCAATCACAGCAGGCCGAGCTGTCTGGCCAATCAGAGCAGAGTAGCTCGCGGAAAAGAGGGATTTAGAGAGACTGATTCATCTGACGAGTCGTTTGAGAATCATTGAAAAATTTGGTGATGTGCAAATGTATATTATGAGAAAATTAAACAGTTTTTTTTACCTTTGAGGCATGTAAACCTGATGTAGGAGACTCCACAACAACATTAGGAAACTTTAAAATAGCATAATAGGGGCACTTTAAATGATACTTCTTCAAAAACAGTTTATTTACATTCAGGCTGGTTTAGCTGATCTTGGTCTTGCTAGTGGACCAGAATAGCCAGTATATTTTCACATGGACCAGCTAACATGGCTAACATACTGGTGACCAGTGAAGCTGATCATTTCAGCATGGTTACATGTAGGGTCTAAAATTAACTTTTTAACACCTCTACCAGAAATTTCTTTCCAAACATGAAACTGTATTTTGCATTATTTTTGTATTCAAATAATATGCTTTATTTCCTATAATAATGAAATTATCTAGCCGCAGTTCATAGTGTGTCTCTCACAGCATCATATATAAAGAGTCTAAATCTCTCTCAGGGTTCCAACACCTTGGTTAACTTTGAATTCAAGGACCTTTCAAGGACTTTCGAGGTCCAATACCCTCAAATTCAGGACTTAATGTGGGGACACATGTGTTGTGTTCAACAACAAACGTCGAGGTTCCATCGTAGTAGTTTCGTACGACCGTGAACGTCATCGCAAAGTACAACACAAAGCAACTCACGCGCGAAACACTTAACGCGTAAATACGTGTAACTAACGTAAATCAAGCTAGCTAGTGTGCATAGGCCACGAAGTGTTGGCGAAACACACTTTCATCCGAACGGAGGCAATAATATGGATTTTTCCAGAAAACTTCTTACACAAAATAAATTCAAGCACATTCAAGGACCTGTATCTATGTGTGTTTACTTTCCAAAACTTTCCAGGGCCTTGATTTTTTTTTCCAGCTTCATGTCACTAACATTGGCATGATTCGATGATTCGATTCAGATCATTGTTACAATCTGATGTAAGCCATGTATTATATTGTAGTTCCTATAAAATCACAAGCTCACTGGCAAATTGTATTTACTCACAATAGCTAGTTTGTGTGCTGTGTTAATTTTGGACCCTGGTCACATCTATTTGGGTATTGCAGCTTTGAGTTTGGGGATATCGACAGTGCTATCATTACCTTGTAATGGGATTGTGCTGGCTGTGGTTTGATTTTCAATGTCCTGTGTGGACCAGGCATTCATCGCTGCCTCAGCCAGAGCAAACTGCTCCGCCACACCTGAGTCAGGCAAAAAGAGATAAAAGGTCACAGATACAAAGAGTACCAGAAAAAAAGAAGAAACTACCTACTCTACTTTTCTCACTCGTGTCCTATCAAGAAGCATTTAACCTTTAAATAAATATTATATTATTATGAATTTGTGAGGAGCATTATATAACAAACGAGGTATTACCGTATATACTTTTATGCAGGGCTGAAGTTTTATACTTAGGGTTAGAGGTATGTTCGAAACTTGGTAGCTACATGTTAAATATATAAATGCTGTTTCACCCGCAGCAAAGCGTGCTTCTTTGAGTTCATCAGTGAGGTGGGAGTAGAGCTGCTCGTCCTCCTGCAGTGCGGTTCCCACACCTCCCCATCCTCCACACCAGCCCCCTCTAGACGCCGCCTCCCCTCCCCAGCTCTTCCACTCAATCAGGTGGGCGACTCGGCCCTGGGCCATCGCTGTGGGCTTAGTGATGTGGTCTTTAAAAGTGGCAAGTAGTCCTAAAGAGATTGGAGGGATTAGCATGGGTGCAAATCAATATTAAAAGAAATGAAAAGAGGGAACGATATGAAGAGGTTCTGCTAAAGAGGGGGAAAAGGTGAGAACGGATAAATCAAGCTTATTCTCTCCAAGTCATCAAAAACTGAACAGCTTTTTAGGATTAGTGTCTAAAAGCAGAGACTAGAGGACACTTTAAATGCATTACACTTTGGTGCCCCATGGCTTTAAAAAAAGAAAAGAAAAAAGAGGCACAAATTCCATATTTTCTGTTTGGATATTAAGATTATCTAACATAAAACTAGCCTAGCATAAAAAAGGCTTGTTTTAAACAGTATCATTCCCCTTAAATTGGTGATTTTGGCCTTTAGCACCTCAGAGGTCTTGATATTCACAATTGTGTCCAACAATTAAATCATAAAACAATGTCATAAATTTGACACGATCTGCTGAATTGGTTTTCAATTTGTTGAAGTAATAAAAAATGTTTAAAAAAAAAAGCTTATTAAGCTTTACCCAAGTTATTGGAAGAAAAAAGGTTTTATATATTCAAACAATATTACTTTGTTTTATTAATTTATTAACTACAAATCAACATTTGGTCCCAAACTAAATCACCACTTACTGGGTGATATAGGGTAAATTTTGATGTGAGGTACATTTTCAGTTCTGTTACCCATTATGGCAAAGTGTGTGTGTGGGGGTGTTAATTTTTTAATTTTTTTATTAAATTATAAATATGTTTTAAATAGTGCTACCAAATCTGTTAATCGCAATTAATCACATCTAATATAAAAGTTTGGAAATATATTTACACATACACACAAACACACACATAATATATATTTACAAACTTTTGTTACAAACTGTTAGATGTGATTAATCGCGATAAATCGATTTGACAGCTCTAGTTTTAAACTATATTAAGACATGCCCCAACTTTTGGTGAAAGAGCTAAAAAATGCAAATATCATATAAAATTAAAAGGAAATATAGTAGCTCACATTACAATTTTTATGACATCCTGATGTTAATTAACATTTTCTGAAGGTTAAGCACCTCCTTTCAGGCTGTATTTTTTGTACCAAATGTACTAGTGGAAAGAAACATTTCTACACTGGAAAACTGAGTGCATAATTATCATGCAAGTCCTTAAAAACTTATTACTGAATATAGTAATGATTTGCAAAACCCATGACATGTATTTTATAAATTAATTTTTCTAATAGCATTTTTACACAAGCAGTTCATTTCTAGCTCTATTTTTTTATTTATTTATTTATTTTTTTGGTTGAGCTGAGATTTGTGGTTCTTTTTTGCTCATTATACATATTCATCGGCTGGTGACTGCATTTATAATTAGACTGAAATGATCAAAAATGTTCTTTGGAAAAGCTTAAAAACCCATAACACATTATTAGTCTCTGTAATTAACTTCCTGAAGAGAGTGGGCCTGGAGAAGTCAAGCAAAAACACAGTCAGAAAAAAAAACAGGTGGCAAAAGAGGCACTAGAGAAGGAGAGAGAGGGAGGGAGAGAGAGAGAGAGACTGTTCATAAATGAGAGATATGCAGGCAGAGGGAAATTACATTAGCAAGCTTCTGTAAAGGTCGACTGCTCTTCTGATTCAGATGAATGATTCTGAACGATAGCAAAACCCTAGCAAAACAACACACAGTGTGACGGTGTCTAATAAGTGCTCTTTGCTCCTCACCCAGCAGGGAAGATGTAGCCAATTCTCCGATGTCATACCCGCTGCTGCTCCTTTTATCTGACATGCTGCCATTGTAGGGCTGATGGTTACCCTGAATAACATGACAAGACGGGAAGCACATATGACAGCCTACCATACCAAATACAACCTTTCAGAATATCACATTTGCAAGCAACAGAGAGAATCACATAGGTGCTAATTACACCTAACAAGTCACTTTTATCAGATCTTACACATTCAGAGTGTGAAAGAACTCCCATGTATCATTGAAATCGATCCATTTATACATATACGACAGGATGAAAATTCTTGATTTTTGTGAGAAAACACACCTTGAAGATGGGCTGTCCTTCAGCGTATGAGTGAAGCTCTTCCATGGGGTGTTGCTGGCCACTTTGCAGCTCTAGAGGGACAAAATATAATGCTATTAATTGTAAATAACTGTTTATTTAATTTATCTTTCCAACAGTGTGCGTGCATGTGGCAGTGTGCATTGAGTTTTATCTGGAGTGGATGGACGGGACACTCTCCTGTTGCACTCATGTTTCCATGGGAACAAGAGATTGTCTTGACAACACCTCCCTGGGGATCCCCAATGTTCAAGAGCACGTTTTTCGTCACTGGCCACATCTCATTGAGGTTAGACCTCAAAGAGGACAGCTAATCTCAGACCTGTGGAGCTTCAGGCACCCGCCAGCATATTATTTACCAACAGGTATCAACTGACAATGTGTGACCTTTACAATGTCACACATCATGCGTGTCTCCCCCTCTAAAACCCACCTCCCATTCATCACGGTGAAACTCCATCCATATCACATATGCATTATACATGTAGTTTTGACCCTGGCATTTCGCAAGCCATAGCTACGGTGCTCTGGACCTTCTAACCCTCACAGGCTCAGACAAACAAACTCTACCCTTTGCTCCCTGGGCTTTACAAATTATCCACTTCATTGGTGTCATTTCCTTGGAGGACACCTTGAGGATAAAATGTCACCTCTTACCTTAGACTCCATTTGTAAATACTGAGACATAACACCTGTGTATTCAGATTGAACTGTCTCGCAGCCTGCCTTACCATAATACACTGGTCTTATTCAGATGAGATGATATGATACAAATAAGAACAGAATATTTTCCCTCTGGTGCTCAGAGGAAACTTCTCAGAATCGGTTGTTATCTAAAGGTGGCATGCAAATTTTGCAACAAATAACTCAAATAAATCCCGTAGAAAGACGGCCATTATGTAAGCGATAATGTAGCCTAAACAGCTACTCACTAGATAGCATCTTGCAGTTGATGGAGATTTGTGGGATGCACATCCAGGGCACGAAGCTCCCGTTCCACCACATCCCAAAGATGCTCTATTGGGTTGAGATCTGGTGACTGTGGGGGCCATTTTAGTACAGTGAACTCATTGTCATGTTCAAGAAACCAATTTGAAATGATTCGAGCTTTGTGACATGGTGCATTATCCTGCTGGAAGTAGCCATCAGAGGATGGGTACATGGTGGCCATAAAGGGATGGACATGGTCAGAAACAATGCTCAGGTAGGCCGTGGCATTTAAACGATGCCCAATTGGCACTAAGGGGCCTAAAGTGTGCCAAGAAAACATCCCCCACACTATTACACCACAACCACCAGCCTGCACAGTGGTAACAAGGCATGATGGATCCATGTTCTCATTCTGTTTACGCCAAATTCTGACTCTACCATCTGAATGTCTCAACAGAAATCGAGACTCATCAGACCAGGCAACAGTTTTCCAGTCTTCAACTGTCCAATTTTGGTGAGCTCTTGCCAATTGTAGCCTCTTTTTCTTACTTGTAGTGGAGATGAGTGGTACCCGGTGGGGTCTTCTGCTGTTGTAGCCCATCCGCCTCAAGGTTGTGCGTGTTGTGGCTTCACAAATGCTTTGCTGCATACCTCGGTTGTAACGAGTGGTTATTTCAGTCAAAGTTGCTCTTCTATCAGCTTGAATCAGTCGGCCTATTCTCCTCTGACCTCTAGCATCAACAAGGCATTTTCGCCCACAGGACTGCCGCATACTGGATGTTTTTCCCTTTTCACACCATTCTTTGTAAACCCTAGAAATGGTTGTGCGTGAAAATCCCAGTAACTGAGCAGATTGTGAAATACTCAGACCGGCCCGTCTGGCACCAACAACCATGCCACGCTCAAAATTGCTTAAATCACCTTTCTTTCCCATTCTGACATTCAGTTTGGAGTTCAGGAGATTGTCTTGACCAGGACCACACCCCTAAATGCATTGAAGCAACTGCCATGTGATTGGTTGATTAGATAATTGCATTAATGAGAAATTGAACAGGTGTTCCTAATAATCCTTTAGGTGAGTGTATATATACACCTAGCCTACACTTTAAATTGAATTAAACTGAACTAAAAAATCATGTTTTAAATGTATGTCGTTTTGGAGACCCTAGTTGATGGAGACCCGATTTCGAGGGAGGAGCAGACTGATACGGACGCAGAATATAGGACCGCTGGGTGTAGCGATTGACCAATCAGATTCAAGAATTCCAAAGAGCCGCGTAGTATTTAATTATAGTGTACAGTACGTAAGCATCAGCATTGTAGCAGCAACATGTTTTCTGCTGAGCAAACTGCATCAGTATCATAAAGCATAAAACCTGCACACAATAAAACAATTTACAACTTATTTTAGTCGCTCACAACTATGTGCTCAGTTTGGATTATTTTTGAATGTTGTGATTTTTCCCCCCACGTTCATGCATTATGTAAAATGCTCTCTATGCTGGAGATAAGCAGAGAGGTGGATAAACAGATAACCGGACTGACCAACAGGTAGGCTAATGGACACAGGACAAACAGAGACAGACATACTCAGATACAATCAGGAAGAGACTGACCTTGGTGACCTTTGCAGAAGCAGGAGCCCATGTTCAACAGCTTTGCAGTTATCTGTTCACCATGCTGACAGAGAGCGGGGACACGGGGAAAAATTAGCGACAGTGAGAGAGAGAGATAACTGCGTGTTTGGAAGAAAGGGGAGTAGAACAGGCAGAGAGAGCCAACTGGAGGATAGAGGTGGAGAAATGAGGGAACTAGGAAAAAGACTGGAGGAAAAAAAGGGATTCGGTGTCCATCCAAGCACTGTTTCTTAAGTGTGGATGGAAGTGAGGAGAGGGAAAGAGAGAGAAGTGGGGAGAAACAGCACACTGACTGTGTGCACTCAGTCCCTCCCTTCCTCCCCTCTCTTCTCCTCCCCCTTCTGCTCTCATTTTCTCTCTCAGACCCAACTTTCACACCATCTGCATACTGAAATTATTACCTTTCATTGAGGTTACATTAGGGATGCACTGGTATTAAAATCTGACAGACAGCGATAATAAGCCCATAATTATTTTCATGTTATGAATAATGGCTCATATTAAAATTCAACACAATTTAGCCAACGTAAACTGAAAAAAAAATATAACAAAAACTAAGATAATTAATTTTAAATGCTACAGGTGAATTTAGGCATCACAACATTATATGTACATGTACAGTATGAAAAATTAATATGAAATAAAAATAGGGGACATTAGCATGCACAATTAAATATCTAAACGGAAACAATAAATAAAAAATTCAGAATATCAGACAATAACCGATTTGGTACTGATTGCGCATCACTAGGTTACATAAATTGGAACTGGAATGAGAAAGAGAAATGAGAAGTGGGAAAAAATTAAATGAGAAGGAGAAAAAGATTTATATACACATATAACAGACCTAATGGAATATAAAGGTGGGTTTATGATTATTATCTTTTCAGGTAAGATTCTGCAAGACAGCTGACATTTCCAGAGCTGCAGAAAAGAATAGAAGTTTCTGTAGCTACTTATTGATTTCTGCTGCCCTCCAGTGTCACAAAGGTAAAGTTGCATGCAGACATCCTGAAAGCTAAAAATATAAAATATAACCATTTTTAATTAGCTTTAGTCTATATCTAATTTACAGCAATGTATTAAAATGATTTCTTATGTAATGTGATTTTCACTATACATCTTGAGCAGATGGCACAACAGTTCAGAGGAAGAGCTGAGAATTATATGAACATGGATCTTCAAAGAATTAGATAGTGCCACTTCCATGACAAATTAATTATTTCTTTCCATTATTATTTCCAGTATTCTGTGATTTAACACTAAAGGAGATAGCTATTATCCTTTGAATTTAAGCATTCAAGTTAATTTTACATTTACTCCTGTTCAATTCATGCAAGACAAACATCATTGATAATAAATACAGAACTGCAATGTGCCTTTATGAGCGTGGATCAGATTTAGACAGCAAAACATTGGCAAACAACCAACATTTTAATCAATTACCAACTCTGGTTTGAACATGTTGCTATATATCTGGGTAAATATGATAAATATTTGTTTTAATGGCATGTGAATAATTGGTGTTTGACGACAAACTTTGAGGAAATTAGACAAAAATAAAATTAAAAAATAATCTATAGGCTAGTTTAACTGTATTTGATACTATGCTCATTTTTATTGATTTTATTTAACAAAACAAGAAGCTCAATGTTTGTTTTGGTCATTTTTGTACAATATTTAAGTTTGTTATCACAAAAGAAAATGCTCTTGGGTTTTATGTCTCAGAGCATGCAGGACACATGTCTGAACTTGTGGCTTCAAAAAGAAATTCTTTTCACTCTCTTTGTTTCTTGTCAACCTGTAATCCAGTAAGCAAACATTGTTCAAATTGTTTTTTACTGACATCACCTCAAGTCATGTTCTTGGACAAGGGAAACTCTGCGCCCTTTTTAATGGCAGTGCGAAATTTTTCTAAGAAAGAAAAAAAAGTTTGTTTAAAGTTTATATTAAACAATGCAAATATAATTTATTTTGCTAAACATCTCTCGCTTACCTCGTAACATTGCTCATATGCTACTTTGGCGTTAGCTCAAAGCTAGAGGGAATATTGTTTTTAGCTAGAGGGAATATTTTAGTTTAAAGAAAGTCTGACACCTTGTGGTAAATCAATGCACTTGCACTCTGCACATACATGTCTTCTTCATGAGGTTTTTTGATACAAAAGAGTACTTGATTTAAATGAACTTTCTATGTGAAAATAGTACAGATTTACACAAATTGCACCATGTCAAAATGGGTTATTCTGTCCCTCTCTGAGGTTGCACATGTGCGTCTGACTTCTGTGGGCACGTAAATTTCCATTCTGCATTTAACTAGCCACTTACTATCCCCACAGATTTTCCTGCCCATTCACACAAGCTCTATCTATTTCTCAACTTCATCACAGCATGGAAAATCTACATAACATATTTGTAGCATCTAAGAGAAAAAATGTAGAGGTCGCTTTCGCTTCCACCTCTAAAATCTAATATAATCTTGCCGATGACACTGAGACATGAGTGATGAATTATAATTGGAGAACAGGGCACAGCAAATGTGTGCGGCTTTGTGTAACTAAACGAACACTTAAATCACGCTAGTGTGCTTCATCAGCTTAATTGCAGATCCTGGACTCCACAGGGTCTTCTGAACAACTTCCACCATCATCTATGTGCTTTTTTTTCTGATTAACTCTCCTAGTAATCAGATTCATCATGAATAATTAATCATACGAATGAAGGACAACAGTACAACAGTACAGTATCATTCAAAGGCACGGTAGTCTTCCTCTTTAATGGCATACGAGTGAAAATGCATCTGTATTGTCCATAGTTCACCCAAAATGAAAATTACTGTGAGAAAAATTTCAAGTTTACAGAGTTTTAGTGACATTACTATTAAACAATGTATAATAATGCAATGGGGGAATATTTGCGGGTCCTGATAATGCCAAATGTCTTCTACCAGTAAAAAGTGTCCTATATTTTAAATATATCTAATCTGTGACACAGTGCAAGCATATTCTTCTAAAAATAATTCTGTATTTTCAGCTTCAGAATCATGAACATTTTTATTCTGGTGTCACCATTGTCCTGTGCAATGTCCTATTTATTTCCTATTTATTTCCACACCCAATGTAATACCAAATTTAGCATTTTAATCAACAATACATTTTTTGTTAACCTTTTACCATATGTCTTGGAGTATCGCAATAATATCGTGAGTTCAGTATCGTGGTATGTATTGAATCGTGACATGAGGGTATCGTTACACCCTAGTCTGTCATGAAAACTCTCAAGGGTGTTTGGAATGGAAATGGATATGACAATGTTGATATGTTTGGTCTTGGCAGAATAGATCTGCTACGCTGCTGCTGCTGCTGCAGATCAAGTACGGGACTTGCTACTGTCAAAACATACACAACACTCAGTGGTGAGCAAGTAAGACATGCTGCTGCTGTACAATTTAGCATACATGAATTACCCGTAGCAGATCTACTATAGGTGGAGCTGGGGAGGGTGGAGGGTTTCTGAAAGTGCGCTGAACTGCTACAGGAAATGCTGACCTGTGTTTGAAGGTTGAGCAGCGAGCTCATTGGCTACTGATACAGCAGGAACCAATCAGCTGTGCCCTACAGAGAATGATGTGATTGCAACAGATTGAGTTAAGAATATCAGCTTGTGTCTTCTAGAGTTTCAAGACAGAACTTTGTATTTCTCTGCTCTTGACAAACAGCTTTTCTATGAAAGTACAAATTTGCTTTGCTGTATCAAAAAAAAATTCTGTTATTAAAAACACAAACAGTTTTGTTCACTTTGGTACAAGAAAAAAAATTCCTTTCCCGTGGGACTTGTCAGTTTGATCCCGTCACTCACAACAACACACTCAACACCACTGATTTTATTTTGGGCTGCTGACTTTGGAGGTCTTTGGCTCAGTGTTTTTCTTCTCTCTGTCTCCATACAGTTTACATACTTCTGTCACCATAAATAACATATCTAAAGCAATAATCCATTTTATGAGTTGTCAGTGGTTATTCCCCTGGAGAGGCTGGACTGTACGCTTTACGCAGTGCAGTGCAGTGGCCTGAGACATAAGGTTAACTCCTTTAAGAAGAGATGCAGTCAGAGGATGTTTTAAAAATGTCTAAATATTTGTTGCAGTCTAGCTTTAATTACAAAATAGTGTATTTTAAAAAGATCCTGTTAAACATAATAATAATAATTTGACTTTAATTAAAAAATAAAAAAAGGTTGAATAATCTACACAAACAACATTGAAGGTGCAAACAAAATGTGCACTTTTGAATAACAGAACAGAATTGAATGAAAATTATGTTTACGCAAGATGATATTTAATAAATGATAAATAATAATATAATCAAATATTTTACAAATAAATAAATAGACACCACACCAAAAAAAATGTGTTTTTGACTTTTGAGTAATCCGCAGGACAAAGGTCTACCAAAAAAAAAAAAAGATTAAATATTCAATGACTACCAAAGAAGCTGTTAGACATTACCTATTTTTCTTTTTATGAGCATCTTAAAACATGACAAATGTGTGTCACTTAAATTCAACATCAGCCTTGAAGGGCGACGCTAGGGGATTTCCAATGCTGGTGCTTTGTAACAACACATTCTTGCCCTAATAAATCACCACAAACCCATAAATTCCATGTCATTTGTTCAAAGTATTGTATTTTCCATATGCCAGAAGTCATTATTGATCAAAATCTCACGCATTTACAGCTTCAATCCATCAGAAACCTGATCTGCTCTTCCTGTCCAGTGTTTTCCGCTGTAAAGGCCCTTCCCTGCTCCACAGCACCAGCTCAGCAGGTTCCCACTACTGTTGACTCCCTCCCACTGTCTGCTGTTCTCACACTTCAGACAAAGATAATCTCACCCGCCTCACCCGCCTCACCTGCTGCTGCGAGCAAATCCTCTGAGACCCCCCACTTGTTGCTGTCGAAGAGAAAACCCTCCACATTCTTTATCTGCTCCAAAGAAAATGCTGAAAGGTGGATTCACAGATATGATCTGCATGTGGCATTTCTTGTCATTTCTACTGATGCCGAACTTCTCCCTGTAGAGGTTTGGTCCAGTGCTTGCAAAAGCCTGTCAGGAAGAGAAGAAGCAGAGGAGGGATCTAGTTTCCAGTCCATTCCTGTTTCTTGGCTAATACTGTTAACCTAAACTGTTTTTATGGCAGTAAATCTTGTGCTGTAACATAAGAAAACTTAAACTTGACAAATCTCATTTTTAAGGGTTTAAATGCTTCAG